GAGACAGTCAATATTTCAAAGTTTAAAATTTATTATTGCTTGGATTATTTTTTTCAACTAATAATTAATTTCATTATCATTGGATTATTAAATTCATAGAAGGTAAAAAACAATGTGGTAAGTTTTTTTTTAAATGAATAGGTTAAGATAGTATGGGTGGGATGTAGCACACAACCTTTTTAATATGGGAGACTCCACATGAATATGGAAGTCAAGGATAAAAATTACTCAGCTCTCAGCATTTCCCATGAGGTATCAAGAATTGACCTTGATCCTACCATTTTAGGTTCAATGGTAAAGTACTCCTTGGAGCTAAGACATTTATTATAACTCTGGCCAGAAATGACAGCTTCTGGAATGGCAGTTCAATACTTAAATCTCAATTTTTAACAAACTGTATTTTTTCCTTTTTAATAATGTTAGAAGTGTTTTTAAAAATAACATTACTTTGATTATTTTTTTCAACTCAATGTAAAGTTTTTTTAATTTTTATTACATTTTAACATGACAGCCGATTTAATCTTTTTAAAATAATATTGGTTATGTAAAAATACTTAAAAAATACAGAATTCTTATAAGTATTGAGAATTTGAATGAAAGAAGCAAAGAACTAAAAAAAAAACAAAAAAAAACAAACAAATGTAATTCACATCTTAAATATTCAACAGATATGTATAATCATTATACAGAGTGCGATGGATAAATTGTCGAAATTATGCAAAAATGAAAACAGACATCTCATTTTATAGATATATTTACCAAAATTACACAAAAATATCTTTAAATACAAAAGTAAATTTATTCAATAAAAGTGCCATGAATGTAGGAATAGTGACACTATCACTAGTGATCACTCTTAACATCATGATGTTGACTGGATATATCATCCAACTCTTTCTGAATCCTCTGCACTGTCCTCAGATTAAGACCCAAACACTAAAATGTTTGTATTGGAGCTTCTGGCCTGATGCTTAGCAGTACAGCATGCCGTTTCCAAATTCCTAGTGCATCATGCTCTAACACAGATGACCCTACGATACTGTGAATAAAATCAGGAAAGCACATGCACAAAATTAAAGATATAAAATAGCAACAATTTAACCATCGCACCCTGTACATATATTATACTACACAATATGTATTGCTATTGATTTTACTATAAAATACATTGAAAAACAGGATTTCAGTGATCAGCAAGCATTATTGATAGAATAAGGCCATGAGAATACTAATGATTTTTACTATAGAAATACATTGAGAATCAAAAATTCAGGCAATTCAGGTATGTAATGATCCTGTATATGTTAATACATTCCACAATTAAGGAATCACTTCAGTAAACTCATCGCAACAATTACACAAATATATACATTTTATGTCATAGGTCTCATTTGTCATTACTCTTACTACATACATAATGTAGTTATTGTTTGTAATGTTTTTTTGCTGTACTAGAGTAATTTCCTTTGCCCTGATGAGACTTAGCTGTGAACTGTTGAAAGATGTTTACAAAGTTGGGATATGAAATGGCCAAGGCTGTAAAAGAGCAGAGTTCAACAATAATTTGAAAATTATATATATATATATATATATATATATATATATATATAAAAAAAGACATTTTTATGTTTAACATTCTTTTTATAGATACAAATATTTAAATGCTTAATGACAGTTTATAATAAACAGTATTAAACAACATTTATCGGCCTGAATGTCAGAGAAATTTTCACAGAAAATATTCGTCCTCCAACAGGATTCGAACCTGTATCCTATACGGAACTGTCATTTAGCTTGACGTGCCTTTACCAATTTGGCCACGAAGGAGCGATCGGTTAGCAAGGTCGAATTTACTGTATTTAAACTTCAATCTTCCATGAATGTACGCAAGAGATTATAAACAGAGCATTTACTTAAATATTTTATCTATAAAAAGAAAGTTAAACATAAAAATGTCTTAAAATAATTTTTGGACTTTGTTCATTTCATAATATATATATATATATATATATTATATATAAATAAAAATGAAGACAAAAGGAAAACTTTATACTAGTAAAAATAAAATAATGGCTACCAGTCTGTTTTACTTATTGTCTGACCAAATTAATTTCTTTTCATAGCCATTTTTTTTTTTACTGAGACTTTCATTAACTTTGGTTGAGAATGTGAGCAGCTTTATTTTATAGCATTTTTCTAAGTTGGACCTATGTACAATTCTTTTTTAGTTTAATTATAGATATTTCCAATATTTGAGTATTAACAAACTTCATGTATAGTGCAACCCAAAAATTTTAAACCCTCCAGAAAAAAAAAATTTACCTGTATATAGGGCAACTGGCCACAAAAACTGCAATTTTTAACCTTGTTAAAAAAACCTTGTGTATATGGCATATATATATATATATATATATATAAAAATCACACTATTCCAAATAGCCTAAGATTCAGTTCATCCTCAATTACCTTATGTACAAAATCCCAAAGCAATTATTGAAGCTTTTTGAAACTTAAATGCAAGGTCATGATTGTATCATAAAAAAAAAAAAAAAAAAAAAATTGAAGCCCACAAAACCTTTAAAATGGTACAAAATTTTTTTATCCTTTTTGAACTTCTATGAAAAGTTAAGCACTATAATTCTGATGTCAAAATGGTTAACAAATCATTGCTAGGATTTGGAAAAGTACTGGCTTATTATGTAGTTTATGTTTTAATGGGAAGCAGTCATAGATTGTTTTTTTTTTTAGCAAGGTAGTCATTTCTGCTAAAGTTAAAAGTGACTTCACTAAATGTTTCTACTTGGACTTTAGGTAAATTATATGTATAACTGGCAAAAAGTGAAAATCTTTAAATACCACACACAAACTTTGCTGCATAGCATTCTTATTTATTATCATTTGACTTTTTCATTTTTTTTCTTTTCTTATAGCACTTATTTTGATTGTTATTAAAAGGTCTGAGAGTAGAAAATTTATCAAATATCTTTTAACTTATTTTTAAATTTAATATCAGTAAAAATATTTTAGTAGCTTATGTCACTTTTTCCTGGTGGTTTTATGCTAAAGGAAACTTAAAAATTAAGAGAACTCTGCCAGAATTTGATCATCTGACTGAAAGCTAAGGCAAATGCAGTATTGATTACACTACTGTTGAATACAAAGTGAAATGCACAAAATTACTTTCTTTTAAGATTTGTAATTATTTAAATTAGTCCTACTTCTTTCACCACTAATTTTTTTAACAAGAATTAGTTTCAAATATTGAAGGGTCTTCAAAAACTATCATTGCTCCAATTATAATTTTGATTATATTTTTACATGACAGCTAATTAGTAAAATTAGTCTCTTAAAATAACAAATAAAAGAAAATATTGGTATGTTAAAGCTCCTACAGATTTTTTTTTTTACAAGCATGGAAGAATTCCTTGAAAGAATACATAGATAGGGAAAGCAGCTTAAAGTTTGAGAAAGAGATCAAAAATAAAATTTAATTCAGACTTAATATCCATTAAAGAAATACAAATGAAGTCAGTAATTTAGTCATTTTTAACAGGTAATAGTAATATAGATGATAAATCCACTTTACCTGTAGCTTCAAAATTAAGCTTTTATTTCATTTGAATTAGTGACATGCTAAAAATAATTAGCAAGCCATATGTAAGAGTAATAGTAGATAATGCAACCATACCTTCATATAGAAACATCAGTTGTAATCTGAAATCTGGTGAGTCAATGTGAACAGTAGCCAGGCTGCTCTTGGAAAGCAACATGAATTATTGGATTTCAAACTGGGCATGATAGAAGTGCTAAATGGATGATGTATTCAATTTCTGAAATGGTGATTACATTTGAATACCTTAATCTATGGTGTTATATGCATACCAGGAATACCAGGTGGAAGGCATAACCACCACTGACTGTGGAATTGTAGACAGCACAGTAACCGACTATGGGTTCTTAATAATCATGGCCAAAGGTATGTGTTTAGAATTGTTTGTAATAACAGGCAAGTCGCACTGGCTCAAATCATATCCATATTTAATGCAGGAGGTACTCAATGTATATCCCGCAGGCAAGATGTTAGCCAGGAAAAATGTAGGCTGGTGGTGGTTTTAGGATGATGAGTTCACATGGCATGGGTTAAGTCCACTTAAATATGTCATTGACTGCCGACTGTTATGATGTATTTCTTCATGATCATTGGCCCTCATTTATTGACCCCAATAATGATGGATTGTTCCAGATCAGGCCTAAGTTACCTACAATTAGTTTGAGAAGCATTCTGGATACCAACAAATGTTGTGGCCTTCATGCTTGCTTGGCCTCAGACCAGTTGAATATTTATGGGACAATCATGTGCCTACAAATATTAGGGAGCTGTGGACAGTTATTGAGATGGCTTGGTTTGACATCTCTGCAGAAGTCTTGTGAATATTTGTGGAATCAATGCCATTTTAAGTCGCTGCATCTCCCCAGCTAGAAATGCGCATGCGTGCGTGTGTGTGTGTGTGTGTGTGTGTGTGTGTGGAGGGGGCATACAATGCTAGACACCTGCACTTTAACTTTTGGCACATCAGTGTCTGTAATGTCCTTGGAATATCAACTTGTAAAATCCGGTTGCCTATATATTTCAAGTAAGAAAGGGCATATTGACAATAGTCAATATAGAAAAATGATTAAAAAAAAAAAAAAAAAAAAATTTTTTTTTTTTTTTTTTAGGTGTCTGTTTAATAAAAGGATTTAAAACCAATCTTCCCACTCCCAGACACACAAAGAACAATAAAATGAAATAAACAGACAAAAATGAAAAAGAAAAAAAGAAATAATTTAAAAATCAAATGAACATTTTATTTTCCTCTTAAAAAATTGAAGCTTCTTGTCTGAATTGGTGAGAAGATGAGTGAGCATCTATCTACTAGAAGTGAAGACATAGCTTAACTCTCCAGATTTCGATTCAATGAGTACCCGCCCAATCTTCCAAGCAAAAGTGAAGACACAGATTAGCTCTTCAAATTTCGGTCAAACAAGTATTCGCCCAATCCTCCACCCACACGTTTTAGGTTGGTGATATGGTCAGATAGAACTTTGATATCATCAACCTGCTCAGCAAGATATTCACTTTCAATGAAATCCATCATCTGGGGAGAAAAAAAGATTCCAATTAAATTGTTTGAAATAAAATACAGAAATTCCTGTACCAAAATATCATTATCAAATAGTTATATTCATTTTTCTAGAACAGTTTAATGGAAAATTTTTTGATGTATATCCATTTTTAGCAGTGGTATTTATTTACTACCTAAATAAACAGATGGATTATCTTTAATTTAGAAATTATCTCCTTTCATTTACCTCTTAAAAAGAAAAAAGGTTATTACAAGCCTGCACTTTGATATGAAAATAACTACAAAATTGTCTTTTAGTTTATGCTAATTATAAATGCAAGATTAACATTAATTTCCATAAACTATACAATCTATAAAATGTTTTATTTGTAAATGAAGTGAAATTATCAAATATTCTCACAAACCAAATCGTCAATTGGTCTTTTAATAGTTCCACATATTTACAGAACCAATTACAATTACCTGAGGGTCACGATTCTTGTCAGCAACTTTATGCAGCTCTAAGAGAGCTTCATTGACTTTCTTCTCCAGCTCTAGAGATGCTTCCATTGCATCCAAACCAGTGCCCCAATCATCCCGCTCAGGTTTCTAAAAAGAAAGAAAGAAAGAAAAAAAAAAAAAAAAAAAAAAAAGCAAGAACAATTAATATACCATCTAATATATAAAGGTCATGCATGCAAACATTACATGAAAATGCAGTTTTAATGCACTTATCTGTATACTTGTTTGAATGGAATATAGTCTAATCTAAAGTGGAAACACCATGCATAGACTAGGTTTGTGACAAAATTTGCCCAGCTCCTTTGGCACTTCCCCATTTGAAGACCCCAGCATTAACCCTAACTACCCTTTATTAATGCAGTGAAAGAGCACAGATTAGAACAATGGCCACCTGGAGCTGAGCACAATAAATACATTTTTATAATTTATACCAATAACATTTTTATTATTTATATGAATAAATGTCTTATATGTACCCAACTTGCATTCTTGATTAAGATAATTAAATTGTACTTTAGCTAGAAAAAAAAAAAAAAAAAAAAAAAAAAAAAAAAAATTTTTTTTTTTTTTTAAATTTCCAATCTGGTCTTTTGTGATTAGTAAGTGATCATTCTGCTGAATTAGATTTCTTAATTATTCAAATAAGGTCTTCAAGTAGTAACCACTTTAGCATTTTACATCACTGCTTGGAAGTAAAAGGAATAAGCAGTTTTGAAAATCTAACATTATAATATTCATATATGTAATAAATGGCTACTAAAATGCTTAAACCAGCTGAATTGCTTTTAATTACCACAATTTTGATAATACCATTTCATGGAATAGGCAGAAAGAATAAGAATTGTTCAGCAGAGCAAAAGAAAGGGTCCATGATTGGGAGGGTAATTAATTTTCATATTGTTAAAATATATTTTTTTAATCAAGCATTTCCACTAAAATGTAGCACTTTGTATAAATTAAGAATTGAAATATCCCATAAGGGATTAAAAGAAAAATGGTTTTCCTCGATTTAAAATAAAAAATAAAATAAAATCTTCAGTTTACCGTGGAACTGATTTAAGAAAGTTTTTGAAATTAAACTTTTATTTTACTTTATTTTTTTATTTTAATTTCCTATTTATAAAAATGAGTTAATTATCTAGCCAAAAGAAATAAGTGATAAAAATCAGTTCATTAGTTATAAACATGTAACAATGCAACAGCAAATTTAGATTTTAAGTGTTCAATTTTTTAAATAATTTTTTTTTTGCCGTTTGATAATTACATCACATGCTACACAGACGTATTTGTGCGAGCTAGATAGATATTTTGAGCATAATGCCAATTATTACATGGCAACTTGATTTTGAGGACAGAAAAAGACATCTACCAAAAAATTTGAAAGATTGCTCACCTCAATTTGCTTAAGAATAATTCGACCACCTCTCTTGTTCTGATACTTCATGAATTTTTCAGCATGTTCCCTTTCCTCTCCAGATCTCTCCCTGAAGAATTTTGAAAAGCCAGGTAGAGCCACATCATCACGATCAAAGTAAAATCCCTAAAAAAAAAAAAGAGAAAAAACAAAAACACCTTAAATCAGAAAGAAAAAAAATTGAATTGTTTGTGAATTTTACACCCAGCACATTCTGACTGGAGGAAGACTTTAATCCATCATGTCTAACCTACAAAGCTTTCATCTAACACAAATATAAAGCCATAGAGTGAAAGTTTAATATTTAAATTTTAACTACTATGTCCACTAACATAATTAGTTAGGCACCTCTACTAATTTGGTATATGCAAGGTTTAAAATGATTTTTTAAAAAATTAAACAGCTGTCTTGAAGCTTTCATTTTAGCTTTAATTGAAAGCTAAAGGATTTAAAATTTACTATTTTGAGTAAGCAAAATAATGTGGTGTATTGCAAACAGAAATTATATTCATCGGAATTGACCCCCCCCCAATTAAAATAGACCAAAATGGCCATTCTTGACACTTTGTAAACAAAAGTTAATTCTTGGTTTTAAAAATCTTGCAAAAATAATATTTCTCAAATGTTATTTGAGGAAAATTAGCAAATTTAAAGATAAATTAATCTGATTCGACACAAATATTACTTATAGTATAAAATGTTATATACAAACATTTATAACCATGGGGTCTTGTCTTTCTGATGCATTAATGAATTTATTTACATTCAGTTGACAGCTGAACATGTACATAGTTAAGTATGATGAAGCAGATGATAAAGCCCCCGCCCTGTAAAAGAGGGACAACTCTTAAAACACTTTAGACTTAAATGCTAGATTTATAGGTTTATACATCCATACTTCAGAAATTCTGCACATAATCACACATACAAAAACAAATTGAAACTTAAAAATATTCAGGGTTGTCAGATTGTAATAAGCTTTACAATATATGATTAGTAAGTATAGTTTTACTTAAACAATATTACCTAAGAATTATCTCATTGAAATGAATTTTAAAAGATTTAAAAACTCAATTTAAGATTGTTAAAAAAAAAACAATCTGGTAAAAAAGATGATATTGTCTATAATATATATTCATAAAAGCAATTAAAAGCTTCTCTAATTAAATAATGAAATAATGTCTTTTATTGCATGTTATATTTCTCAATTCAGAACAGATTTCCAGTAAGACTGGGTACAATTTTTGCACATAAAACTATGTTTTCATTATGGCATGCCGGTTTTTAGCATTTTTGTGGAGGTATCTATTAGTGAATATCTACTTACACTGCTAAGCATCATTAAGTTAATAGGCCAAAAGTTACAAATTCAATCTTTCACCTAATTTTTAGATAATTCATTCTCCAAACATTAAACACCAAGAAACATACCTAAAAATAATAATTTCATATGATTAAGGAATATCAAACTTATTTTACAAAAGTTGTTTGAGACATAAGAATGCAACATAGCAGCATATCATTATCATATTTCATCATCAATTATAAAATATGAACAATCAACCCAAATAGCAATTTCAATAATACTAAATATGTATTTAAATAATCATGAAATGCATGCATCATTGTTACAGAAACTGCAAGACACCGAGGAAGCAATACAAAGGAACCATAACATGATTGTTGTTACTTAATATTTCTTGCTACATTCATAAATCTAAAAGGTTGGGGGCGGTCATAGTCTTCCCAAATATTTTAATTTGTCATAACTGATATTGAACATGGCAGTACATTTTTTCCTACTGAGCATTAGGTTAGAGATAAACCTTTTCTCTCAAAGCAGAAATAGATGAAATCATATTTTCAAACAGTTCAAATGTTTTGTGGAATAATTAAATTAAAACTATTCTCACTACTATAATGTCAGCTCCTGCCATTTCTCTTCAAGATGCATAATTGACTAGTAATTTAGCAACATTAGTAATAGTCAAAGTCATCATATGTACTACATAATGAAAAAAACAGGTATTACAAACCAAGTACTGAGAAGTTTTTTCTTTAAAGTATCAACCGATACAAATAAGTTCATGGAAAGTTTTCAGCCCACACTGAAAACAACTTCATTATAACCTTTCCTATTATAACACTTGACAAATAAAAGAGTTTGATCATTCAGAAAGAGCTCACAGTAGGACTTCCTTCAAATCCAATTACACACATCAATTTAAGATAAAAATCAGTCTTTGATATAATTAGAGGATTCTTACTTTTGCTTGTCTATGATCTTTTGCATTTCATATTGTTGTAAAGTATTCATTTTATATTGCCTATCACAATTTGTTAAAAACATTATCAAATTAATAACCAACCTAGTGAAAATAAGGTTCAACATTGTATTTGGATATAGTAGGTTCAGTGTCTTCTGCATCAGAAAATACCGATTATTAAAAATCAATGTCCATTATAAAATATGAACAACCACAACAATTATTATTTGTCTAAAACCATTCATGAAAGCACAAAATTCTTTTAGGTGCCAAATAAGGTTTTCATATTGCATTTCTTTTACTTTAAGGAAAAAAAAAAAAAAAAAAACACAAAAAAACATAATATACCAAAAATGTTGTTGATTTTCTTTCATCTGCAAGGTTAGAATCAATAAATAAAATTCTGCCAATCTTGAATTTTATTATAAAAAAAAAAAAACATGCAGATATGACAGTTGTGACAATTCAATCAAAAGTGACCTTTTCAAATGAAAAGACAAAAATAATACAATAATTTATTCTATGATTATAAATTTGTAATTAGAATTTAAAAAAAAATAAAAAAATAAAAAAATAATAAAAAAGTTCTTGTTTTTGTTAAGCTCTATGTAAATGATACAATAAAGCAAAATAACTTTATTGATAAGAAAATCATTTACAATTTCAAAACAGAAAAGCTGCCATGAAGATTAATTATATCAGGAGTACATTTGGTACAAAATGTTTAAATGACATTTGGCACAAAAACATTTATCATGCTTTCCACAAACTTTTTGTGCCAAATGTTATTTAAACTTTAATTTATTTAGATGTTTGTAAAAAATTTAATATAACAGATATATTGCCAAACCAAACCACTCAGATAATAGAATAGATAAGTTCACAGCCTGATCAACTTAACAAATGATCAAGCACCAAAGTTTTGTGCGGAAGGCATTCGTGATCACTCTGAAGACCTTTTCAGCACCCTCTCATATGTATTCAAATTTCGCACACACAATAAATTATAAAACTTTTGTTAGTGTAGAAAAACTGTCTAAAATCTATTATCTTATCCAATAAGAAAGGAAAGAGCAAAAGCTTATATATTTTTTAGGGAACAATGCTAACAGAATGAAATAGAAAATATTTTCCACTAATCTAAGAATCTTGTTATTTATTTGCATACTTGTAATTACTGTCAGGAAAAGAATAGATTTTTATGTTACTAAATACATTCAAATTAATTTTTTATAAACACACAAAGCAGTATAATTACATTAAAAAAAATAGCTAGCTTAATTTCTAACTTCTTTGTCTGGAAAACAAGTTTAATTGCTGTCTGATTACAGTGCAAGGCACACACACAACTATTTTGAATTTAAATACTTGAATAAAAAATATATATATCACATTTAATGAAACAAAATAGGGTTAGAAAATAATTTTTGTTCTAAATAATTGAAGCATGACCCTTTTCTCAACGAGATAGAAATTTACTTTTACCATTTCATTATATAGTAAATTGGTAGCAGATACTTATCTATGAAATCCAACAGCATAGAGCATATTAGGTATTTATATATAAACAATAAAACTAATTTTAATTTATGCCTCCCTTGTTTATTTATCGCACATCAATTTAAACTGCTACACCTAAGTTTTTCAAATTTAATTTGATTTTAGATACATTTTTTTTTTAATTCTGTCACTCATCTGCATCTATAAAGAGAAACATTCCTATCAATTAGAGATTAAACTTGTTTTTAAGTAAACTGTCCATTTGATAAAAGTGGTTCTATGATTACAAACATGAAGAGACATGAAGGTAATGGAAAATACCTCTAAATATTCTTTACAAATATTTGTTGCAGTCACTAGCTACAAAATTATTAATCATCTTAACTGTCTATAAATTACAATTCTTTAATAAGGAATCTTTTATACATTTCATATACTAACATTGTAAATATGCACAAATAGGAATATATAATAGATCTTTAATTTTTAATATATAAGAGATATTTAACCATCGAATTCTTGAAGTTACAGGCAATATGTTGGACACCAGAAACACAAATATCAAGAGATTGGTATTGCTAGTAATGGCCTGAAAAATCGAAAATTTTATGTTGCAACATTAAATTGCAGGATTTTGTTTTAGTTAAAAAATAAATATTTATTAGATAAAGATTTCATTCTATTTTCAATTACTTTTTAAAGCAAAAATTAAGCCAAGTTATAATGGTGTTCAACCTGCGAGGAATAAATTATTTAAATCTGTTAAAGAATTTAAGATTTTTTTTATATAAAAAAAAAAAAAAAGTAAATCAGTTGGGGTCTATTAAAACTATTTCAATTTAAAAGGTGAGAAAGTAAATCACAGACTTCAGAATTTATTTTGTTCTCATCTTTGTTACTATCACATTTTAGCCATTGTACCTTCCAGCCTTCAATCCAAGTAACCAATATCTTAACATGAATGAGAACAATCTAGGTTATGGTTGTAGATTGAATAAGGGGTTCAATTTGCAATTCTCTGAAGGTTATCCAGATCAATAGACACTTGAAGAAGGCAATGGTGAAAACGTGATAGTAACAAAGATTACTCTGACTAAATCAATGTAAATAATGATAACTCCCCAGCACCAAAATACACTTAGAACTCCCATGTATTAATAATTTAATATTATTTAAAGAGTTATTTGAAAATATGCATTCAGAATCATTAAATATCAAATTGATTAGATATTTTTTAATCATATCAACTATAATGAAAATGGATTTTGTATAAACCAAATCAAATCTGCTCAATGGTTGAAGGCAAATTCTAATTTGCATCAAATTCAGTCAATAAACAAACCACCAATCTCCCCAGATAAGTTAATGTAAGAAATTATACAATGGGAGTAATTTGATTCTTTCTCACCATAAATTCCTTCAAAGACACGAAACAGTTAATGCAAAAATTTTATGGTACTTTGATTGATTCCTCTCTTTTTGTTTTATTAAATTAAAACTCCAGGAGGGAAATAGTTTCATAGTTATATTCAAAATCAAAACTAAAGATATCTTCCCAGAGACAGATCATGATACCAAAAAAAAAAGAAAAAGAAAAAAAAAGGGGGCCAGCTAGTTATTTGCCCACGATGCCTTTTACAGACTTCTGAAATATAAATGTTAATCTGGAAGGTTCAATGTTCTACATATGACAAACGAGTGAAAACTTGTGAGCCAAACCATAACAAATCTTACTTGATCAAATAAACATGCAGCTTCTTCTTAGCATTATCCTGATATTGAATATGAATGTTATATTTTCTTCTGTTTAATTCCAGATGCGTTTCATGTATTGCTGCTTTCATAGCCTGATTGGAAGCACAACTGTTTGGCTCTCCGGAAAGAGCTGATAGTTGAGGACTCCCTTCCAATTCTGTACATAATACTAACAGCAACCTATCGGAGGAAGAGTGAAGACTAACCTTTCGCTTTCAACTGTTTTTTGTTTTTGTTTTTTTTAACCTGACCATAGAGCATTGTCCAACGAGAAATCTCCAACAACCCACAAGCATAAAACTTCGCGAACCACTTTCTTTTCTAACACGTTGGATTATTTTTAGAATGGTGTTTTATTTCTTAAAAACTAAAAAAATATGACTTGTTTTATTCAGTGTTAGAAGAATAAACAAAAATATTAACACAAACACTAATTAAAAAGTGCACATTGATAATGTCAGAACACAAAAATTTCAACTTTTATCGAATGATCTATGGCTTCATCTTAGAACTAGAAAGTAGAGAATGCTCTGAAAACTTAACTAATTTTCTTAATAACTGTCATACACTCACAATTCTCTCAATCAAGAACAGTGGTTAAAGAAATTAAATTCTAAATAAAATACAGAACCTGAATTAAGTATTCATGTCGTAATGAGCTCAAAGTGCTTTTCTCAATTTCAAATGGCATTTTTCCAAAATGAGAAAATTACAATCAGAAGGCCCTAAGGGTTAGTCATTTATTTATTTTTCATTAACAGTTTGCTACAAGCAAGCAAGAGAAGAATATTCTAGTCATTGATGTCCACTCCTTTTTTTAAGAACGTGACTCAGGAAAATTTCAGCAAAGAAACAAAATATTTTTTATAATTAACAATTGTTATTTCCATGTTATTGTTAAAAGTTAATTTAATAAAATTTCAAAGATATTAAAAATAAATAAAAAACTAATTGAAATCCCAATCTTCGTGAAGTTTTCAAATAAAAAAATGCATATGAAAAATTTCTCAAACTAAATGCATATGCATGTATTCAACAAGGAATTTACATTTTTTCAGCGTAAAAAATGTTTAATCAGCAATCCATGCTGATCATTGAATGACACGTCTAGAATGATACCTCTACCAACACAAGGGATGGAAGTGTGACCATCAGACATGAAGTTAAAAATACTTTACTTTTTTTTTGTCTTTCGAGTAGTGCCCGTTTTTCATTTAAGACGAGTCGAGAGGCTTCTATTTAGTGCTGAAATTATTTTATTTCATGAGTAGCATGACTATTTTTTTGTAAACATCGATCGTATCTTTTTTGCCATAATCGTTTTTACGCATTTATGGGAGGACAGTGGAAACTGGTTTACTTTAATAATACAACAAAAGTCCTTTGTTGCTTTTTGTAGTTTTTTCTTTATACAACAATAACATTAACAAAAATATGTCGCCATCCGACTGTTAAGCAATGCATAAAAAAAGGTTTTGACATCGTTTGCAGTTAACTCAGTGACAGCTATCGCAAAAAAATGAAATGAGCAATCCTACGATTGTATATCTAATCACTACTGTAAATAAAAATTATTTTAAAACTGAGCAACACCTGAAAATATCGCAACACGAGGATTAAAAAAATAAAGAGGATGACCTTGACTTTAAAAAAAAAAAAACAGAAGTCTCCTTTGAGGTCTGTTTTCATGAAAAAGACCAACTGATTTTTTTAAATTAACTAAACAATTAAGAAAAATATGCTTTAACTATTCACAGTAACAAAAAAATTGGTAGCAAATGATTTTATCTTTTATTAGTTATTACTCTTTTTATATATATTTTTTAATTTCAGCGCAAAAAAGACATTTTATTTTTACCTTAGTCAAGTTACAGTAAGTACTGTACAGACTTATTCGCTCTTTCTTACCATAACATGGATTCCTGTTTTTAGCGAAATGACGCACAAATTTACATGCAAAGATATACGGACCACCACAATTATAAGTGAATAATAATAAATTAAAGATTAGGAGGATTTAAAAAACAGAAAGAAAAGGTATTACTGTATTTAGAGAAGTACATTTAACTTTTTAATATTCAAATTCAATATATTTTTTTTTTAATAATTTTTAATCAATATCGTACGTGTACTAGGGTTCTTAAATATTTTATTTATTAATTTAATGAAACTGAAGAATGCATTAATAGATTTTAATGACGTGGAGTAAGGTTGGTAATATATTTTAACGAGTAATTAAATAAAAATTTGATGCTAAGTAGTTAAATTAGAGAAAGGAAAATTGTCCGCAATAAAGGTGATGACGACATTGAAGAAAAAAATTAAACACAAGCTCTTTTCATTAGCGTTTTTTTTTGTTTGTTTGTTTAAATATTTCTAAATTTTTATTTGTTGTTAAATAATAAGGTAGAAAAATATGGAAATAAAACTCACCATGGACTCATACACATAAGAAGCATAGAGTTCCAGGTTGATCTGACGGTTAATACCAGCCTCACATTCTTCGTGAAAATTTTGACGAGGTCGTGTTTCGCTCATTTTTGTTTAGATGCACAAATGTTAAAATCGAGATATATGAGGAAAATAAAAATCGGATGGTATTTCAAGAAGTCGTTGAATCACTTGATTTCCTTTTTGTCTTCCTTTTCTCTCTTTTAGAGTTGGTAAGAACTGGTCCGTACGTTCACTGACGTAGCAAGACTAATTCTGAAGCGCGATAGTGCCGCAACAGCTTTTTATAGGGATGAGAGATCACGTGATCAAGAACATGACGCATAGGCGGACCATTTTGTTTGAAAATAAAACACTAACAGTGACGCTAACGCAAAATGTACCAAAAACTCTAGATAAATAATTTTTGGTGGTTTACAGACCACCAAAAAATTATTTATTTAAAAAGAATTTCAAATTCCATTGTCATTAGTTACTGAAACCTAAACTATGAATTACTGTTCCTTTTTTTGTTTGTTAAAAAAGACAATTTTGGTTTTGTTTGTTAAATTACAACGGATAATAGTACTGATTTAATAATTTATATTTGAAATTAAGTAAACTAAACAGTTGATCTAATTTTTTCCGTCATATTCTTTCATTGCTCAAAGTAAGAGCGGATAAATTTTTTTTTTAATAAAATGGAAAACAAAAAACGAATGTCTACTTACTAGTTTCTAAAACTAAGTAAAAATGGCATTTTTCAAGGGCATTTAAAAAGAAAGATCATTATGACAAATGAACAATATTGGCGAATTAAATTTTTAAAATGTATGTGTTTAAAACTTGCATAAATTAACTTGACAAAAGTTGGTCAAAGCAAAGGCGAAGGTGCAAGCATAAATGAATTAATTGCGTAGTTACTAATGGTCTATAATTCTAATGTAGGTGTTTTTCTTCTTATCCATAGTTTTTTTAGACGCAAATTTATTGAGAAAACCGCAAAAACGTCACCACTTTGAGTTTAGTATTGGTTTTTATCATAAATGACTTATATAATAAAAAATTATTTGTAGATTCCTGATTGATTCACGGTGGAGTTAAAGTAACTAAATGCAAAAATGGCTGTTTTGGCAAATTAACTAGCTAGCATATAGAAATTTTATCAAAATGGTTGAAAATTTAAGTTTATTTCCTCAAATTTTTATTTTTGAATTAAATTCTAACAGACAAATTAGTTTTATGGCTTGTTAAAGGCTACAGGACTTTTTTCTTTTTTCAGCGTTGTAAAGTAAACTCACTGTGTTGATTCAACAATGTATATTGTAAAGTAGGTAAAAATGATCATTTTATGTGGCGTAAAATGATAATTTGTTGGTGAAACAAAAAGGGAAAAAAGAAGTGTTAAATAATATGGTACGAATAAAAAACTGATTTTATAAGAGTAGAAAAGCAATGAAAAATAATAGATAATGTTTAACAATATAACATAAATTAAAAAACGCTAAGTAAAATATTAATGGCGGCGGAAACATTGCTGTTAGCTGATGAAATAACCATTTTGTGGCAAATTGATCGGCTTTGTTAGTGTTTTTCTCTTTTAATCGATATTATTCAGTTTCTAAGTTTACCCATTTTCACACAATATTTTATATGGGATAGAAATTAAAATTAATGATATCAAAAAGTTTTAAAATGTACTGTAATTCACTGTATTGTATAAATGAACTGAATGAATGAAGGTAAGGCTAAAAAAAATAATAAATAATCTTTGACACACATATACGCACCACATTTATATACACACGTACAACATTTCATGGTCCCTTTATGGGTCCTGAGGAAAATATTAACTAAAATCCAGTTCCGGAGTGGATAGGGGCGCTATACTTTCGCCATTGCACTTAGGGTCAGGGTCAATCCCTGATGTCTGGGGCGTTCCAGCATGGGAAGTACCGAGAGAAATTGGAAATTTCAGGCATGAACATGTGTAAATGGGCTCCACATTAATTGTGGCCTTGTGTCAAACTTACCATCGTAACCATTAAACAACGCATGTACACACACGCACATTGATAATGAAAGTGCTACCATTATCAAGTGTCAAGAAGTGTATTTTGAAAATTTGAATATTAATTAAAAAGTCATTCTTCATATTGGTTTGAAAAGTTTTAAGATCCATTCAAGAGTCAACTGTAAGTAAAAAGTTATGTAAATAAAAGTAAATGTATTATTTTTCTAGAACATTGTTGGTTTTTTTATTCTTTGATAGAAATAAAGAAAAACTAGTGAATTTACCTGGGTAATTTTTAAAAATCCCTCTTCAATCATTTAAAAAAAAGAAAGAAATAGTGTAGGCAGTAAGAATTGAAAAAATCCATAAAACATTATTATTACTACATGATTTTTTTTTTAATATTTAAAAAAAGAGGTAAAGTTGTAATGTAAACTAATAAGAAAACATTGTATTGTTGAACATTATTGTGTTCAGTGTTACTGTTAAAGAAAGAAGTATGATTTTTGTATTTTACAGAAAAATATGTAATCTTTTTCCCAATTTTTGAAAGGTTAACAGTAACACATACATTTGATAAGGAGACTATTGTGAAATAAATGTCATAAACTGTTATTTGTGACAACATTGTTTTTATGACCTAACAAAATTTAAAAGCAAAATGAACATCATGTCGACTTTTAGGGGTCCAACACGTGTACAAGTTACATGTGAGTAGAGACCAAAATTACCTCATTTTCACAGGCATCAGGGAAATTATTACCTTTGAATGGAATTGGGAGGCATGCAGCTTGGAAACGATAAAAAATAATAATTTATTAATTATCCCTTTTATATACATTTACAATTTTTCATTTCAAAAATAATTTCTCTTTTTGAGATTTATTTTATGAATCGGTATTTTAAATCACAAGACATAGATTCAATTTTTGGAGGAAAAAATTATTTTGAAGGAAATACAGAAAAAAAAGGAAAACTATTCCTGTCACAAAGTAGTGTGTGATATCATTTCCTTTTTACTAGTTTACTTATAAAGTCAAAGATTGGAGATTTTTGACTCAGGACTAAAATTGCAATGTCATTGATTTTTCTTAACCTTTCGAAAGACGGTTAGTGGTCAACAAGTAAAAATTCACAATGCTTAATAACTGCACAAGATCTCATTGTTAGGTTTTTTTGGCTTCTTATTTATTATGTAAAAGATCTGACTTCAAATATTTTTTTTAAAAATTTTTATTGTATTTTAATTTTCATATTATGAGGAAAACATGGAAACTTAGACCAGTGGTTTGAGATTTTTACGTTTTGTTTTTGATTACGAAACAATTTGCTGACAGATACTTTGAACTTAATTAGACAAAGAAGAGACTGGATTTGATGTAAAAAAAAAATGACTGAACACAAAAGTAAAACGAATGTCAATAAAATACATTTCCATATTTGTACCTATTTTGTTCACACGTCAACGTGGTTTATAAGCTTGAGGATATTTCATAAAGGGTGAGACCAACAGGAAATTTGAGTTAAAAGTCTCTAAAGTGGAAATGTTTTTAACTTTTTACACTCCCTATTTTTTTTTATGTAATTTTATGATGACATCTTTTTCTATACATAGTTATTTTTTAAAATTTAAAGCTTATCCCATTCATTCGTTCCATCAATTATGACAGAGTTCGTTTGACGTAGGTCGTATTCCTTTCCGTTTTTTCAAGAGCCATCTTTTTTTATAATTTGATCTTGTGTTCATTCAAGAGATTTATGATTTTTCTTGCAGTCTCTTCTTAATCTATTTTTTTTATTGCATTGTTTTTTATTAATTAACCTAATATTTATTTATTATTAACTTATATTTTAATGAAAGCTAAACATCATATTCATCATTATAAAAAATACCGGCACATCAACTCAACACAAAATAAAAAAGTCGTGTGGCCAAAAATCACCTGTTAGTTAATATTAATAATAATAATAATAATAAGAAGAAGAAATACTGGACAGAAATTAAGTTTCAAAGATTCCTGATTTTTGTGATTCACTTTTAAAAATGAATTTTTTTTTGCGTCTGTTCAAAACTGTGTAAACAATTTTTTTTGTTTTGTTTGAATATGGTTTTTCTCTACTGTTTGTTTGTAGTATAAGTACAAACCGAGACCTCTCCATAAGACTTGGCTATTGGCTTAACAGAACTTTAAAAAAATCTAATATTTCGTAAAAAAAGAAAAAGGGAACATGAAGTTTACGTTCTATCATTAATTTCGAAAAATATTGGCAGCAGGCACCGCCAAAAGGTGAGCTAAAAAAAAAAACTTTAAGAAACATAACATTTTGGTTTTATATTTGAAAAAGCTAATTATGACAAGAAAAATAAATTCCCATATGTACATGTCATAAAGTTTTAGACATTTTTTTTTTATTATTCCCACCTTCACTTGTCACTCATCGACTAGAGATTGAATAATTGCCACTACAGACGAAAAATGTGAACAAATTTTAAAAAATCTCTTAAAAATCCATTATTCGTCCTAGAGAGATTTGTTTCAACAAAGTAAAATAGTAATAGTAATTAATTGCATTTTGTAAAAATAATGCTTACTTTTTGCGTAAAACATAATGAAAATAACATTATACGGCAGCTTGTGAGCTGTCATCAAGGTCATAGGTCAAAAACAGTATTTTTCTACTTTTATCCTTGATTATTTTTATACTACAATAAAGTGTATAAACAAAGAAATTAATTAAAAACTAGTTAAATGATACATTTAAGTTGAATTCATTGCTTTTTATTTATTTATTTTTTTACCTGTTTAATGATAAAATATTTAATTGCACCCAATGAGGTCTTTATAATTATTCTGATTTTAAAATTTATTAAACTAAAAAAAAAAAGGAAGTGCTAAAAAGGAGGAGCAGGACAATAAAAGTGAATACTGACAAAAATAATATTCCCTCAAGAGGGAGATGATAGAGAATTTTTCCTATTTGAGCTTCCATTCAAAAAATAATGCAACATTTGTAAAAATAATAAAATAAAATTCTTTTAAAAATATTTCTACTGCAAAAATTGCATCAAACTTTACATTTTTTGATTCTTCAA